GTATTATCATGCATATTCCAAAACACGCCAAAAATGTCTAAATTATTACTGTTGGAGATAAAGCTATCAGTGAATTTCTTTATGTATATTGATATAGAATATTGATAAAGAATATATAGAAATAATGCATATATAATTTCCTGAAAACTAATAAAAATCTAAATCGGTAAAAAATAACATAGATAATATTGTATATTCATTAATAAATTTTGTTCTCATAAATCGAAAAAAATTGAAAATGAATCTTGAGAATCTTGAAGACTTCAGAAATGCATTATTGGCAAACTCGCAATACGAATTACGAGTTGAAGTCAACCAAAGATGTTTAGTCGATAAAATGCTAGCACGGTAAGCTTTAAGTCTTCCACAGGTTTTTTTTTTTTTTTTTTTATCTAACTCTAAAACAATTCATAGATATTCATCTGAATTTGCAGTATTCCGAGAATTATTGCAGAATTCAGGTCTATTTTTTTTTTTTTTTTTTTTAATACAAATATAGTAATTTTTATATAATCTAATATTAAAACCTACATTCATAGATGACGCAAATTCTTTGGCTGCAAACATCGTGTTTATTGGTACTATTGGTGAGTCTTATTCGAGAATGCTTTTTAAGAATAATGGGTTTGCTTTCCGACAACAAGATTGGGATCGATTAAAGAGAATTGCTGAAGGAAATCTTGATGAGCAAAAGGTATTTTCAAAAATACTGTACTTGCATTATACATCAGTATTCATAACCTAACGCTGCTTTTGAGATATAAAGATTGGTGCTTTCGGTGTTGGATTTTATTCGGTATTCTCGATCTGTGAAGAACCATTGTAGGTTATTTAGCTATAGTTCTTAGTCTACGAAATTTTACCTCCCTCGCTAGATATAATTTCTATAAAGTCATTTAAAATTGAAATAATTCCGTTTTAAAATGGCGTATATATTTTTATTGATCGTGCAACATAACACTTTACATTGCTACATATCGTATGTTCTGACAAACTTGGAATGGCCTTTCATTGGAATGGCGATCAGTTGCTTGTAAATCATGGCACTATCAATAACGGAGACTCTGAGTGGACCACATTCTTATTGGATATGAGACAGCCCTTGAAGGTATCAATACTTCTAACTTTCGTTAAAAAAAATAAAAAAAATTCAGATTTATGCCTAATTTAGTTCATTAATCTCTGACTTATTATTCTCTTTTAACCAAATTGCAGTCTTTTTCAATGTCTCTATTTCGGCACTTTTAAGATCACATTCATGCTTGGTGAAATATTCTACAAGCTTCATATGATTCAAATTGTTGCTATTGACAAGTCGATCAAAAACAAGCTTAAGATCCACATGCTGTACTCAATATGTGGGAATTTACAATGAAAAGATGTGTTTGTAATCGTTCTTGGTGGATTAATGAATGAACATATTACCCTTCTTACCTTACGTATTTCCATCATAGTGAAAAATTCTTCGTTAACTTCTATGGTAACATTTGGTAAGTTCGAAAATAGCGTAACTTCTGGAAAATATGATTCTGAAGGCTTTTTCACTCCACATCTAGTTGGAATGCATTCAACTTGACGCATTAATTGACATATAGTGGATCGATCTCTCATTTCTATTTTTTTAAAATTTTTTGAAAGGACACCTATAAATCTCTCGGCAAGAATCGGATCATTTTTCAGTTCATGCTTTGTAGTAATGTATCGTGTCCATTCAACTAATGAAAGTTCTGTCCAGCTTCTAAATGAGAGATGTAATTGTGAGAAAATTGGCCTCAAAAGATTGAAATACTTGAAAAACCAATTGTATTATAAACTTATACTATACTTGAACGATCTTTTTATGGCATTTATATCAAATTCTTTGCTAATAATATATGGCAATACATTAGATGGGACATCTAAATCTGTTCAATGATGTTTGGATTTTGATAATAACGAATATTTTTCAGATAAACATCTTTATTTTCAACATGCACGACGGCTAGCCGTATTAACTTATTATAATTTGGTTCCGAATAATTCGTTATCCACCAATTTATTAGGGATACCATCTCATTCCGATCTAAGTGTCGACTTTTTAATTCCTCAAATACGTCATTTATTGAAGCTTTTTCAATAAGTTTCAAAACAGTGTTAGCTCTTTTGAAAAATTCTACACATTGATTTTCCACGATTTTCGGAACGGCTGGGACATTTTTAATAAACTTTGCCATCTCTGGATTGAGTAACCGTACTTTTGTAATTTCTTTGACACCGTGAGTTGATAATATAGACAATTTTGATGGACAGCATTTATAAAATTGT